TTAAAAAAAATAATACTAAGACGAATAACAATATCAAATAACAAAACACTAAACTATTCAAAAACACACAGCACTAAACATACAAACTTAATAGAACAATAAATAGTTAACAATAATAGTTGTAAAACTCGACACGACAATCAACGGAGATAAAACCTACGCCACTGGACTTTTCAATAGTATGGATATTCTAAGAAAGGAGCAAAAAATTGTCTGGGACGCTACCCAATAGGGAGTCGAATTTTCTCATGGCGACAAAACACGTGAGGATATCCGCCAATCAGATTCGTTTAGGCGGTGTCCAATATACCTTTCGGGTGGTTGTTGCCAGCTCAACCGATGTAGATAAGATCTTTGGAAAAATGTTTACTTATAATACGATTCAGTAGTAAAAAATAATTATTAAATACAAATAGAGCTAACAACCCATTAAAATTCTCAGTATTTTGAATTATTATTTTTTGGAATTGTGAAAAATCGATTTTCAAATCATTGAAATTACTTTTATTATTATTATTGCTTTTTTGTAGTTAAATTTGGCAATATCGAATATTTTCGGTCGCATTCCTTTCGCTGTCGCAGATCCGTTTGCCAAACTTTATGTATGTTCATTTCAAATGGGATGGTAGGATTATACTTACGATTTAGCAATTAGGGCTCTATTGTTGTCTGATTGTTTTATTACTCCAACACCTGTAGTCAACCATCTGTTTGTCGTACCACTGATCAACTGTAGCTGTAGTAACGCATTTAAGTACTAGCACCAAAACTCGTTTTCCGCCACAAAAACACCACGCCAGAAGAATGTCTTTCCTGTTATCTGTTGTAAATACCACTTCTGTTATCGCCTAATGAGCGCCGCAAGTGCAATAACTGGGATGAACTACCACAGAACTGCGACATTACTCATAACTTTAGTGCAGCGCAGTTCAGTGATATTTGTGACATAATGAGAAACGCTGTACAACGCGATTCAATGTTGGATTTTAATATTAGAGGTGCGTTAACTGCCGAAGAGATGCATTTTTGGAGTGAACGTACTAACGAACAATTCGATTCTATATTAGAGCAAACTCCCTCACTCCAAAGTTATGGAAATCGTAGAGAAGTAGGTATATTTTTGACGAAACTGCGAACCGGTGATTCTAATGAGAGACTTGCAACGTTATTTAACATGACAAGGCAAAATCTGGAGCGACTCATGACCAAAGCATGTGAGTGTCTTAACGAAGACTATGGTGTTCGTCATCTAACGGAACGGAACCTCACTATAGCAAGAGCTATATATGGAGATGATGAAAACTCGAAAGCAATCGTAATATGCGACGGAACTTACATTTACATCCATAAAAGTGCTAACTTCTTTTTCTGCGCCAGTCATACAGCTTGCAAAAGTTCCAAAATCTCTTCAAGCCGTTCATGATAAGCGCTACAGACGGATACATAATTGATGTGAAAGGCCCGTAAACATAATGAGTGACAATGAATAATGGTGAAAATCCAATACATTCTTTGCCGGAACCAAATGATGTATTTATATTGGATCGAGGGTTTAGAGACAGCCTGGGCGACATAGAAGCTCGTGGTTACGAATACCATGTTCCACCTTCAAAGAATAGAGAAGAGTCACAATTAACCACTGCACAAGCCAACGAATCTCACATGGTACCTACGAGCCGCTGGGTCGTGGAAATAGTTAACGGTAGAATCAAGCGTGATTTCAAGCTGTTGAACCAAAAATATTTCAATAAAGCGTCGCCACATCTGTTTTCGGATTTTAGAATTGCTGCCGCTTTTTTGAACCACTTTCATGCAACCGTCGTAGACAACCAATACGCCGATATATTCGTCAACGAAATAAGGGAGGAGCTTCATTCGCCTAATATTTTACATAATTACGTGGAAAGAAAACGAATAGATAACAGAAGAGCTGATTTTGTAAGGCTAGAAGCAAACGATGTAGATTTTCCGAGATACACTGAAGATCAGATTATTTTATTGGCTCTGGGAACGTAGCAAATGAAGCTAGCGAAATCCTACTGCAATGAGCATCTCCAAAATGGAATATATACCTCCAATAGAGGGATACCGACAAAATGCACTTCAAGATTTGCCTGATTCTGGAATTGATGAAGATTCTTGGATTTTGTGCAGTCGTATCCAATCTCGACACGTTAGGGCAAGACTGTATTACTGTTATATTTTAATTAATAATGTAAGCAATACTATTTGTCAACATTATTGTAGATGCCTGACTGGACGACGTACCATAGGTACCTGTGTTCATTGATGTAGTGTCTATCGTGTGGTACCTAAGGTACACCAGGCATGAGGGATTTATAGCCCTCAATGATGTTTTAGTAGATGATTATTGATAAATCGCAATGGAACATGATGTATTGAAGGCTGGTCCAGTCGGGTGTAATGTAAGACTACGTGTCACTTGTCTTAACTGCACTTAAGAATGGAGCAGTGCCTGTTATGTTGTGCATTTGTTGTCTTTACTGTATGATTTTATGTGTAAGTCTGATTCAAACAAATAAATAAACAAAGGGGAAGATATCGTGTTTCATTACATTTTGTACAGCGAAAATCCATATTACTTGAGATTATATAAGATAGGTACTCCGATCGGACTGCGAATCAAGACAGGCACCATTCTTATTCTACATAATGATACCTTTCTAATCATGTATCACTCTATTGGAGCGGGTACCAGAGTTCATACATTTTTTTGCGTCATCGATTGCATATGTAATTTCCAGGATATAGCATACATCTGAAGTAAGTGTCGTTGAGACAAGAAGCTAAGGAAATTTTCACCAACACAAATTCTCACAAGCAGATGTTAGATCACATATGAGCCAAACCATGGTAGGTCAAGCATCATCACGTTGAGGCAACACGTACAGCTACACAACTAGCGTACATCAAGTAAACAACAGCTAGTTCCAAGTTTACATCTTATAGGAAAACCTACACAATGTCACAAAACACTTTCCAGTAGATATCAAACGTGTACATCTGGCTTAAGCTACGCGTTTTATTATGACAAGCGTAACAGAATGGTCAGCTCTGCTGCACGTCAGGGAAATATAATGTCTGCTCCAATCAGCTATTTACGTTCAAACCCTTGTTTGGCTTTCGGTTTGAGCGGAAGCACATTTACATCTAGAATTGCTTTATTCGCTGCCCTGGCTTATGACTGGATGTAGAATTTGCATATTAGCAACTTGCTGTCATAACTAAATGCTAGTTAAACGTTTAATTTAAGGGAAACAGCGTGAACCGATAGGTGAGTAAGCATTGTCAATATTATATCCGAATATTGAGCAAAATTTCAAGGAGCCCTTGGCTATTTTGCTGTTTTACGATTTACAGAGCGACCAGAGTTTTCGAAAAAAGGCAAAAGACGACAGTCAGACAGACTTAGATGGAGATATAATATCCAGAAAACGTATCCCGTATATTGGAAGTATTTCGCGATATTACTATCCTTGCCTAGACTAAATATGCCTTGTTTATTGTTGAAAAAATATAACCGTACTTCCTAGATGGCGTAAATTGAAGCATCTAGCACGCCCTCGCAGTTTTATGTGGCTTGTCGCCTGTCTCCCAGCCTGACATTTTATATCGAGCACAAAAGTGCTCTTAATGCACATTATTTCAGCTCCATTCAGCATCGGTCCTCCCATAGTGACTCTTGACAGGCTCTTCTCAAAGTTAAAAGCAGTTGAGAACAACTTTATACTGAGTGTTGTTAACCGGGTATCATAAGATCTTTCTTACTGCCTTCTGCCCGTCCGTGACGAGACGGAATTTTGTGTTAAACTTAGTACGCTAAATTTCATACAAAATTAAGAATAGTATCAGACAGCATTGAGTACATAATTTTTTATGAACAAATTTAGTGCAAAATTTTTGAGAACCTGTTCTAAATAATATCATACTAAAAGTGCGCAGATGACTGCTGCGCATTTGAAGCAGTACAATGGCTGATAGAAACGCTACGTGACAGGAATTACATGTTTTGTGTTAGTTGAGATGATAATTGGTTGACAAAAACACGCCTAACCTCAAACACTTTTATTAGTTGATGCCATCAGCTGTGTTCATCACTTTCACGAAACTCCTCTGCTTATGCTGTTCTCCTTATAAATTGAAAACAAACTTAAAAGATCAAAAGAGTAGTCTGATACTACTAAACGAGTATGAGAAATATTATTGTTTATATGTTGTAAAAAGCAAAGCATATAAAAACAGAAAAGCCAAATAAGCTGCGCTGGATAAAATCAGAACACTTTAGAACCAATTAGGGTTATAGGCCAGTGGATCCTCCACTAGAAGGTCTTTATTCAGCATATGGAGCACACCCATGTCCTGGTCCCTCTCCCTGATCCATTTTCGGCACCAAATTATTTTACCGGTTCGTTTACTTTACTTACTTTACGAAATTTAGTACAGAAATTTCTTGACGTGTCATACAGGATTGTAATTTATAACCAAATTGGGAACTAAATTTAGTAACGCATTTTCTCAAAAAATTTGGTACCAAATTATGAACGAAATTTTGTATCGTGACAGACGGCCTTATCAAAGCGAAAAATACGAAAATGCCGGAATGAGGATTAATTACAGAGTTTTAAAGCCACTTAAAAATTAATATATTCCTTAATTATCTGATATAAAATGAGATACTATAGCGTTATCTATGAGAATTTGTCACAGTTGTGTTTCTACTATTAATTGTAAATCTACACTGAATCAAAGCTGTGACATCACAACGTAAAGTAATGACAGTGACGCGTATGGTTGCCACATTAATTAAAACTACTAGATCCTAGGAAATAAACCACAAATAAACAACAGCCGTTGGAGTAAACTGTTACCAACATAAATGCTCCTGGAAAATTCAAACTATACGTATCAATTTAGGATCTATTTTGAATTAAGGTTGGCATTCAAATTTATTATATTTGATGTAACTGCTTTGTTTCGGTGAAAGGACGATACATCCAAAAGGTTAGTGTCCCATACAGTCAACTATACCTACTATGCCAACTTACCTCTGCAGCTGGAAGTCCTGGGGAACCTGGAGGACCTGGAGGGCCTGGTGGACCTCGAATAGATTCTCCTGGTGGACCCTAGATAAATCCAGATCCGGAATATATTTTGAGGTATGTCATTATTTATGTAAAATTTAGAACAATCAGTTAATCAATTAATCCACAATCAATCAACCAATCAACCAAACAATCAACCAACGAATCAACTAACCAATCAATCAATCAGTGTATCGGTCAATCGGTTAATCGGCCGATCGGTCAATCGGTCAATCGCTCGGTCAGTAGATCAATCGATCAGTTGTTCAGTCGACCAGTCGTCCAGTTAATCAGTCGATCAGTCAAACAGTCAAACAGCCAATCGATCAATCTATCTTCCCATCAATCAATCAATCAATCGATCTATGAATTAATCGATCAGTCAATCAAGCATCCAATACATTAATCAATCATTCACTCAATCTACCAATCAATCATTCAACCAACCAATTAATCAGCCAATCAATCAATCAACCAACATACCCGTTGATCACTTAATGGATTAGTCAATCAATCAATCGCCGATTCAACTATTCAGTCATCAGTTGAATCGCTCAAACATGTCTTGATTTACAAAAATCGCTACTAGAAGGTTTTCGATACAAAGTTTAACCTCAAAAGATCTCAAACTGAGGTAAATTGCTCCAATTGCTTTAAAGACTTACCCTAGGTCCACGATCTCCTTTTTCTCCTCTATATCTTCCCGCAGCTTTATCGAGGTCAGAAGGAATAAAATTACAACAGTTCTCTTTACCACATTGAAGACAGTCCTTACCATCTGGCGGTGGAGGAGGGGGAGGAAAAACGCCAAGGTCATCGGCGGTACCACTTCCTTCGCGGTACGTCCGGTCATAGTCGGTTCGTTCCACCTGCGGAAGGAGAAAGTTATGTAGTATAACATACTATGTAAAGAACAATGTTAATTAGAAGAACCAATCATAAGGAATTTTACAACAGGGTGCCCGAGTATACCAAAGAACACAAGGAGAGAGCATTGGCAAAGGGTTTTCTTCCAACACTCAAAGCAACACCACGAGCATTCATCGGCATATCTGCATCTATAGCCTGGTAGTTTCAGGATGCCGCGATATGCTGACGCACTCCGCAATGGAATCACGAAGCATGCTATTCAAAACCGAGAGGAAATCTTTCCTCCTTCTCCCAATACATCGAAGAGTATGCTGTAGGATCCTATTGCGGCAGATTAGAGCTGCTAGCTCAATGCATTAAGAAATTCTGAACAACACCTGGAAGCGTAAGAAAGCATCGGAAATGATGTCTCTTTTAGTATAACACATGGATGAAAACATCAAGCAATATCAGGAGTATTCTTCGGCATGCCGGTAACTGCAGCTTGGTCACCATGGGAGCAGCATGCCGACACATCCCGGTACGGTATCAGATATGATGGTCTTCGATGCCTCAATACATTGAAGAGCATGAACCTTTAAACCTTGGATGTCATGATAGTTAGACGGATGATGCCACGGAATCCCACAGCATGAGGAAAATCTCAAGCGATACCGTAAGCCGGAATGCCTCTAATTTCAAGATTAATTCATTCATTCAAGCATCCATCGGCGTCGGCCTCTCACAAGCTTACCGCACACAAAAAAGTTATTTCTTGATCCAAGAGCACACATTCCTATAATATTATGTCGATGAGTTTCTCCGAAATTACAGGTACTTTAAATAAAGTAATTTCATAGTTTCATAGAAATATAGATTTCACAATGAAATGGTCCTTACTTCAAGGAAATATGTCATAGAAACATGTCAAAGTTACGATATTCAATTCAAGATAGATACTCTCGAACCAAGGACACTCTTTTTTGTGAACAGATTATCTAAAGCCTTATAGCCGGTATATGCTATGACATGCGGTGGCACAACTACACCTCTCGCATTTTATAGAATAACTGCGATACCGAGAGAGATCCTGCCTGTGACACCGAAAGGCTGTGAGACTCCGTGGCAGAAGGTGTAGGCATGCTGGCTCATTCTTACGCGGCCTGGCAATAAGTTTTGTTGTAAGCCACATGATACCAATAAATGTTCCTGTTAAAGCGAGAGATTTTTTTCATCAGTGCGTGCTGCTGGTGAAGAAATACTTTTTGATGCCCTCCCCTGACGTTTCAAGATGTGCTCCAGCCCTATTCACCATACCGCATACCTTTAAACGGTCAAGGTTTTAAAAGGTTCAAGTAACGGTTTTTGGAAGCCAGCATCGCATTTTTTGATCTGTCCAATTAGGATCTATCTAATGCTTTTCATACTACCTACTTGTACTCCATCTTTACTAGCTAAAGGAAAATGGCAGTCAAGCCGCAGTAATGAATCCTTATTCTTTTGTATGTATTTCCTATTGATTTCAGCTACAATTTGGAATACGTGCCTTTTTTTTATGCAGTTATAAAAAACTTGCCTTACACTATAGACAAGCTACAGCAGTAAGCTGAAACTAATTAATTTTTAGCACAATTTAACAGTTTCGTGAGGCGTAAGTTTATTTTTAATGCATAAGCTTTTAAGCGCGCTTTACTACTTTGTATAAATTAACAGCGCTATATTCATAATCACTGCGGATAGAGTGTTAAAAACTCCGCTTACTTGAACTTAGAACTTCAAAGCCTTACTATGTTTTGTGATATGAGTCGACAACTTAGACTGGTTTGAAAGCCTTTATCGTACTAAATGAAATAGTCCAAGAGTTATGTAGATAAGTTTTATTTATTTATTTATTTATTAGAAGCAGGTATGTATCAAACTTTTTCATATTGTATATTTATATGCAAGAAGGAAATGATAAGCATTTTCACAAGAGCTATTAAAAATGGGAGACATGTTGTAATGATAATAACTTGAGTGACTTCCATAAGGGTTAAGTGGTTAGTAGTATTAGAAGAGATCGTCATTCTCTACTTACATATATCTCATTGTTAATGTCTTCGTCTAGGTAATGAAATTCCTGGTTAAAAAAGAAGAAACAAAAATAGAACAGAACATAACAAATAACTAATAAAAATAATAATAAATGTTAAATAAACAAGATGATGTAATGATTTGACATATGAGTATTACGATCTTTCACGTTGGAATTTAGTCGATTATATATGAAAATGAGTACGTAGTTTATCCATGCTTGTTCATGCCTTTTAAATAGTTAATTAAACAGGAAAATATTATCTTACAAACTTATAATTCCTAGCCTAGAAAAAATATTGTAGAATAATCTATACTTTATTAACGTTTTTATGTTTTATTGTTGTTATGGCTATCACTTCAAACTCCAAAATAAAAAATCGTAATTGACATATACATTAATACGTTTGTAATATCTTCTGAGTAATCACAATGACAGAAGACCACTTCTTGAAACTAAAGCAAAATAACTTGTACCAAAACTAATATTCTAGAAATGTTCTTTTAAACTAATGAACTTAGTTAACTAATAATTTGGGTAACAAGATCCAATAAAAAACAAATGAAAAGAATGTATACCAACCTCGAAGTTCGTTTTGCACTGCTGCGCCGCCATATTGGGATCTCGAAATATCTTAAGTTGATCCAGAGCACCCTTTAAAAGATAGCTCATGGTCAAATATAGATCAACGGATTAAGAAAGTAAGCTGTCGTCCCGAGTGCCTTGTTTGATATTGATGCATGAATACTATACCCTAGCGTAAAAATGGTAGTTGAAAAATTCGTTCAACTGCCATTTTGGACCATTTTTTTTAATGTCACGTGATTCCTCATTCTTAAGCTCCTTATCGGTACTTTATAGTCATGGAATATAAATTTACCACCTTTTAGAATGGCGGACTGGTAGGCTGTAACAGTTGAGCATTTTTGTAAATTGAATTGCGTATAACTGAACAACCAATCGGAACAACGCTATAGCAAGTTACATACTTGTAAATATTCATGCATCAATTCCATCATATACTTATAATGAACTAGACCATTGGATTAGATTCATGATTTAGAGATATGTAAGACGTATGAAATTTGCAGACAAGTACTTGATGTAAATAATATAAGCAAAATATGTCTACGCTGCTATTTTCACGGTATATCTCCTGGGGAGTAATGTAGCTTTTAAAGCGTTCAATAGTCATGGATATCATATCAGTGCCCTCTCCAACAATAAATAATCAATCATTATGTTTCATTCCAAGAAATCGTGACTCAGATACAGTTGCTTAGAATTTATATGGTTTCTACGTTGGAGGACTGGCTAAAAGAAGCATTCATTCACAGTAATTGACAGATAACATTGGCATGGCATGGTTTGTAGGTTGCATTTTTTAAAATCAGCAAATTTGCATATAGAATAACTCACGATGAGATGCTTAAACATAATAAGAAAAAGTTGATGCGCAGCTAGTTTCTAGATTTGCATAGCTTTTTGTCTCAACCCAATTTGAGACAAGAATCAACGATAAACCTCATAGCTTAAGCCATAGAGGCTATCAATGGTCCGCGCTAGTGCAACCTCTGAAGCAGATCTTTATAATAATAATAATAAATGTCTTCATTCTCCAAACATCGACAAATAATCTTACATTTTTATTAAAAAAAGAGAGTTTGGCGAAGGGCGAAGTTCAGATGTGCACCTTTTATGGATATTTAAGTAATCTCCTTTAAACAGGGAAAAAGGTTACTCCATTTTACATTATTATTTCTCTACAGTCATTTAAATTTTAAGAAAATTTATTTTGCGAGTTCCAGCAGAAAATACCAACCAGCGCAGCGCCAAGATGTGAGGTGCTGCGAAAATGTTTTTAGATAACCCCCGTATACCCTAGGCTTTCTCGGCAGCAGACATCCCACAAAACATGCTGGCAAATGCGAGTTGCAACATCATCTGCAATATTGTAGACAACATCAACATTTTTTGTTGTTATTGTATTTAACCTCGGTAAATTTATGCATCTAATATCCACATTTCACACATCGTAGGTTTCTCAGTAGATTTGCCTTTAAAGCAGAATGATAGAGACATATTTTCAATCTCGTACTCCTGCTATCTAAGCTCACTGCCCGCCGTACCGACCTGGCTAGCTAATCTATCCGTACTGGAGCACACATAACATATACATGCAATGAACGATAGATCGCTGCAGCAATACCGTGATGGGCGCTGCCGCGCAGCTGTGGGGACAACGTTGCCAGACGAACAGTAACTACCGGTATGAAAAGGAAAGAATGTCTATGATTTAATTGTATGGATCTGTTTGACTGACTTGATCCATTTAATATCTCTATTGTATATTTTGCGACAAATTTCTTCCTCAGAGGGTTCAACTTCTGCCGAACTTAAATCCTGATGAACTGATGACAGCGTTGTGTAGGAAGTGTAGAGTCAAACTACTTGACGCCCCTTTTTACGTTATACACCTGCAGGTCTAAGCTTTGGAATAATGTTGATAGTGCCATTCCAGATTTATCGCTCACTTGGAAAGCGTTTTTGCAAGGTTATTGTGTATGTATTCAATTTTTCTCACGTACGCTATATGATTCTTGAAGTGCGTCCAATTTATGGATCCCGATATATCCCCTCCATAAATATGAAGCGGCACGCTTTATCCAGCCATCATCCGTCCTGAATTATTTACCGATTAATACTACTCCAGTGGGGAAAATTTCAGAAGAAAACAGCTCTCTGGAAAATCACTTCAAAAATAGACGTACGTTACTCCTAGCAGGCATCTCATTTATCTTTATAAAATCCGTCTCGGGAAGATATTTCGTTTCCTTTCCAATTTTATTGAATAATTAACGTGGGGAAAAGTGGAGTTTGTCTAAATCTGATTCGTGGATTAAGTCCTTTCGGAGGACCAGTCAGTTGGAGCGATGAATCTGCGATCCTCGGTGTTGGCCTCATTCTTTGAGTAAGCTGGTTTAATGTTATGTTCAATCTAATTTTATGAGTTGGTCTCTATTTTTTATACTGGCTTGCTTTTTATTAATGACAATCGAGTTTACGCCTATATTATTGTATCAATGGTTTATGCTAATATGTATGTACTGGAGAGGATGTATGGTAATAGTGAAAATTTTTGAAAATGAGATATGTTTTTTTGGATGTTATATGACATGTACATCATGAATAATCATGTCATCTATTTCCGTCGGTCTGTCTGTACCAACGCTAAGCTACAAAAATCTATTAATACTATACGACATACATTATTTACCATTTTTTCCAAGAAACAATACGCTCAGTGCTATCAGGTCTACCGAATAAAGAAAAATGTCTTAAAGTCTTAAATAGAATATTGCTGGTATAATTCGACGAAACACAAGAATAGAGCACTCCTCGCACCTTAAGTTTCGACTTGGTGCGTTAAATAGCAGCAATTGATGGTACCGCCCCTCCGATTTTCAATTTTCAAAACCGAGTGGAGGGCAAGCAAGCTACCACCCTATTCAATTTTCAATCGCCAGCGAGTTTTTGCATTTTGGTTTAATGTCTACCGGAGTCTATAGAAACATTTCGCACAAATCTACCGAAAACTCTTAAGGCATGATTTTTGAGGTTGAGACCTACCCACATTTTCTTCGTGCTCGGGTGTTGCAGACCCCTCCTTGTCAGAGTACTTTGGAATGGAAGCACCGTGGTGACCGGAACGTCGGTAAAGAGTAATTTATAGTCATTATATCATAGATATAAGACTCGTCAGATATACCTATACAAGCACATTGTTATTACCAAAATTTAAAAATATGTTTAATTATAAATATATAAATTTGTCAAAAAGGTAGCGGCTCAAATGGAAAGAATCACAAATAGTGGAAAAAATACAAAGGTCGCATGCGCACGCACATACACTAAACAAGCAGACAGAAAAATCAACGGAACAAGGTGTATAAAGATTCATTTTAGGAATTAAGGTGTATTACTCCTACGGTGAAAGGTACTCAGCTACTGAATAATATCATTTTTCTATTAGTAGATTCCTCAGCTCTTTCTTAGACCTATTTCGGCATCTGATTATCTTTTAGTATTGATGGCAACTCATTGAATACCTTGGTGCATGCATAGGCAGGTGATTTTTGGAACACTAAGGTATTATATTATTATTTGGCCATCAATATTAGTTCGGGTGCAAAGAGTTATTTTGGATAGGAGATGGATGGTACTGCTATCAATAGCGGAATATCTGAATAGAGCTATAGGTGGGTGAAGCTGTGCAGTTTCACCTAATACCCCAGCTGTGTAACGCTCGTGGTAATATATTGTATATATGTATTTGAATGCCCTCTTAATTTAATCTGTTGCAAGCCATCTAAGCTACTCCTGAGCCTTTATGAAAAGACAGAGTACTAAAAGAATATCGAAATGATTGATTCTTCTGGTAATTAATTTCTGCCACCATTTTGCAAATTGCACATAGCAACAGATTTATTATTCTTGTATCAATATTGTTACTTCTCATGCTTGTATTTTTTCTGTAAGGGAAGCACGAAAAATTGTTGACTGATTAATAAAATCTATCTATCTGTCTCTTATGCAATCTATAATGCGTTCGTAATTCGCCTAAGCCAATCGTGAAACTTTTGATGTCTATCTATCCTATATCTTGCAAGAAATATTCGCTATCCAAGGAGTTTCTTCAGGGCAAAAGTCACTTCCCGACCCTTGGCCTGATTGTATCCGAAGAACAATCTGAATCATTAATTTCCATTTCAAAGTCTTTCTAGCTGGTTCATTTTTCAATTCTGATAGTGGGCAGGACATCAGCCGCGTCTTAGGCAACCAGTGCCTTAAAAACGTTAAAAAGACAAAAGACCCATTTCTCTTCCTGAGAATTTGACACGCAGGGCTATATTATCGCCATTCATATCTAGAGGATCAGGCATTGAGGGAAAAGACGGTGAAAAATATAGAGTCTAGTAGGTTGAACTGGAAGTTGAACTGGGACGAACACATCTCGTCAATCGCGGTAGGTGCTGTGAAAAAGTTAGGTTATTTGTTTAAGGTTAAGAAGTACTTTAATCCACATAACCTCCTCACTCTATACAATTCCCTGATAACACCTAGCCTCCGGTATTGCCACATCGACTCAGAGATCTCGTCCATGATGCCGCCGCACGATGTCCCTGCCAGACACACTCGTCTTACTTCGGCCTCACATCCTAACCGTGTCGCACTACATACATTCAGAACTGGCGGATACGACTGCTCCATTGACTTTACGGTCACGGGATTGTGGAACAATCTGCCTGATTAGTAAGGTGTCTTTAAGCTCCTTATAGCATCCGCAATACCCCGGTATTTATATTTCTGCCTAAGGGGCTTCTTCGGTATATATAAGAAAAAAAGAATACTCAAAGCCGCTTTCTTAGCACATGCGGAATCAGATGGAATTATAAAATTAGCGAACCCACTGGATCCCACCGATCTCTAAAATGCTTAGTTCAAAATTATTTTGATCGAATCTAAAGAAGGTTTACAGCCACTGCTTTCTAATCTCCACTGCTCTTCATTGCTTACCTAATCTGAAATGACAAGCAGATCACATCTACTATACAGTCATAATCGTCAGGCATCTAGCGGCCACATGGTGCCTGGGCTATTTACTGCGCGCTGAG